GCCAAATTAACCAAAAGAAAGAGAAAGAAGACTGAAATGAACAAAATTAGAGGTGAAAAAAAAATCACTATTTTGAAAATTTACACTCAAAAAAGCTAGAAAATCTTGAAGATATTGAGAAATTCCTAGACAAAAAAATATGAGCTACCCAAAATGAACCATGAGGATATAGAAAACTTAAACAGATCAATATCAAGTAATGAAATGGAAGCAACTACCAAAAATCTTCCAACAAAGTAAAATCTAGGATCACACGGATTCTCAGCCAAGTGTTCCCAGTCCATCAAAGAATATAATATACTAATATCAATCTTCTCCAAATCATTCCATGAAATATAAATGGAGGGAACACTTCCAATTCATTCAACAAAGCCAATATCAGCTTGATATCAACACCAGAATAAAGACACATCAAGGAAAGAGAACTTTAGGGCAACATCCTTGATAAAAATAGATGCAAAAATTCATAAAATATTAGCAAACCATAAACAAAAACACATTTAAAAGATAATGCATCATGATCAAGTCCCAGTTGCATCCCAGGGATTCAAGATTTGTTCAACATATAAAAATCAATAAATTTAGTTTACCCATAGAGTTCATAATAAGAATCACATGATTATCTCAATGGACACAGAAAAAGCAGTTGACAAAGTACAGCACCCATTCATGTTTAAAGCACTAGAGGAAATAGGAACAAAAGGAACTTACCTCAATACTGTAAAGGATATATGTGACAAACCCAAGGCCAACATAATAGTGAACTGAGAAAAACAGAAAGCATTTCCTAAAAATTGAAAATCAATGAAAGAAAGCATTTCTAAAAACTGTAACAAGACAAAGATGCCCACTCTCACCATTCCTTTTCAGCATAGTCCTTGAAACTCTATCCAAAATAATCAGGCAAAAAAAAAAAAAAGAAATTAAAGGAATATAAATAGGAAAAGAAAATCTCAGAGCTAGGGTTGTGGCTCAGTGGTAGAGTGCTCAATCCTCAGCACCACATATAAACAAAATAAAGGTATTCTGTCCAACTACAACTAAAAAACACTTTTTTTWAAAAAAAAGCTCAAATTATTTCTTTTTAAAATTATTTCTATTTATTTCCACATGATCCTATATTGAGAAGACCAAAAATTCTCTACCAGAGGACTTCTAGACCCAATAAACAAATTTAGCAAAGTAATGGTTTGCCATAAAAATCAATATCTCCCAGCACTGGGTTTAATCCTCAGCACCACATAAAAAAAATAAAGATATTTTTAAAAATGAATCTGCTAAAAAAGAAATTAGAAAAACTATTCCATTCACAATAACCTCAAAAAAATTACTTGGGAATTAATCTAACAAAGAGGTGAAGGACCTCTACAATGAAAACTATAGAACACCAAAGAAAGAAACTGAAGAAGACCATAGAAGATAGGAAAACCTCCCATGTTCTTGGATAGGTAGACTTAATATTGTACAAATGGCCATGCTATCAAAATCTGTTTTACAGATTAAATGTAATCCCTACCAAAATACCAATGACATTCTCTACAGAACTAGAAAAAGCCGATCTAAAATTCATTTGGAAAAATAAGAGGCCTAGAATAGCCAAAGGAATTCTGAAATTCTGAGCAAAAAGAGCAATCCTGAAGGCATCACAACACTGGGACTCAAATTATACTACAGAGCTATAGTAACAAAACCCAGCATGGTACTGGCACCAAAACAGACACAGAGACAAACCCACATAAATACAGGTATCTGATACTAGACAAAGGTGCCCAAAACAAAAAAGAATACAAATAATAATAAATTCTGTTGAGGATGTGGAGAAAGTGAACACTTTTACACTGTTGGTGACATTGTAAATTAATACAACCACTATGGAAATCAGTATGGAGATTCTTCAAAAGACTAGTTATGGAATCATCATACAACCCAGCTATACCACTCGTTAGTATTTATCCTAAAAAAATAAAGTCATCATACTACAGTGATACATACATACCGAGCACAATTAACAATAGCCAAACTATGGAACCAGCCTAGATATCCATCAGTGGATGAATGCATAAAGAAAATGTGGTATTCATACACAATGGAGTTTTATTCAGTAGAAAAATGAAATTGTGTCATTTGCAGGAAAATCTATGAAACTAGACCATTCATTATGTTAAGCAAAATAAAACAATCTGGGGGGCGGGGGGGTGCTGGGGTTGTGGCTCAGTGGTAGAGCGCTCGCCTTGCATGTGTGAGACCCTGGGTTTGATCTTCAGCACCACATTAAAAACAAAACAAAACAAAACCAAATAAGTGAAATAAAGGTGTTGTGTCCAACTACAACTAAAAAATAAACATTTAAAAAAAATAAACCAATCTCAGAGGTCAAGGGTCATATTTTCTCTCATATGGAAGCTAGAGAAGAAAAAGGAAAAGAAAGGTGGTGAATGGATCTCATGAAAATCAAAGGGAGATCAGTAGCGAAAGGAATCAGGGATCAGAGGGGATGGGAAAGGGCTGGGGAATGATATTGGCCAAATTATAATGTAATATTGTGTGCACACACAAATATATAACAACAGATTCTATCATTATGTACAACTATAATGCATCAACAAAAATGTGGAAAGTGTGTAGGGGAGAAAAATGTTGGAGCTGGGGCTGTGGCTCAGTGGCAGAGTGGCACACGTGAGGCACTGGGTTCCATCCTTAGCACCACTTTAAAAAAATAAACAAATATAATAAAGGCAGTCCGTCTCTATCCATAACTATAATTTTTTTAAAAGAATGTCTTGTGTTACATCCAGTTATAAGCATGTATTCATGAAAGCTCTTTTTACATGACCTTCCTCATCTCCATTTATTGGAGTTTGACATAAGTGACTCCATTTTGGTATCAGCAACTTTCACAGGGTGTATTTCAAAGTATATAGTTTAGTGTACATAGTTTAAGTAGATCTACATTGTTGTGGAGCCATCTCCAGAACTCTTTTTAAAATATTTATTGTTTAGTTGTAAGTGGACACAATACCTTATTTTACTTATATATGGTACTGAGGATTGAACCCAGTGCCTCACGTGTGCTAGACGAGCACTCTACTTCTGAGTCACAATCCCAGCCCCTCCAGAACTCTTTTTATCTTGCAAAATTTCAACTCTGTACCTATTAATCATAACTCCTCATTCACCCCTTCCCCAAGCCCCTCTAGAACTCTTTTTATCTTGCAAAAATTCAACTCTATACCTATTAATCCTAACTACTCATGCACCCCTTCCCCAAGCCCCTGGAAATCACCTATCACTCTATCTTCTGTGCTTAGATTCCAGAGCCCTGCTGAAGTGAACCAGTGACACAGTCCCACCTTCAAAATATAGTGTTTCTTCATTTATGATAGGGATAGGTCCCAATAAACCCATCATTAACTTGAAAACATCATAAGTCCAAAAAGCATTTAACATAGCTAATGTACTAAATGTCAGATCAGTCAGGGCAGGCAATGGCCAAAGGAGGCAGATTTAAAAGGATCGCTGAACAGACTTTATTGAGATATCACTCCTGGGCGGAACTCGATCAGACCCACAGAGGGGACAGGAGAAGGGTCTGAGGAGAAACCGCGTGGAAGATCCACCTGACTGGACTTTTATGGGGCTTACAGCAGGAAGGGAAGGGCTTGGGACAGGAAAAGGTGTTCTTAGAGTCCCTTGCCCCCTTGGAGTTGGTCAGGGGAGTTGGCTGAACTCCAGGATTGGTCAGGGGGTCCTGTTGATTGACAGGCGTTAGTCAGGAGATCTGGCTGATTGACAGGCGTTTCTGCCGGCATCTGATTGATGTTCTTTTTCGGTGGGCTGCTTTGTTCTAAGTTGCCACTAAGTCGCCACCAAATCGCCACCACCAACCTAACACTAAACATTACAGCTTAGTAACACTGTTAACACTGTTACTAAGTACACCAGAGCTATGGCTTGCTTCTGCTGCCTAACATCAGGGAGCATATCATATGGCATATCAGTAGCCAGAAAAAAAGATAAAAATTCAAAGTACGGTCTTTACTGAATGGACCATCCTAAAGTTGAAAAATTATACAATGAACCACTGTAAGTTGGGGATTATCTGTATTTGAAACAAGAGACAAATTGAAACTACCTGAAGCCACAACCCAACCTACCTCCTTATTAGCTGGAAGATAAGCCTTGTACCCTGGATGCCTGACAAAAGTACAATCCCTTCCTGGGAGTGTTTATTATATACTTCAATCTCTATTCTTATTTTATATATAATATTTGACATTGAATAGTATCTTATGAAACATATAAAGAAGTAGGAAAATGTGATCCATAATCAAAAGGGGGAAAAATCAGCGGACTGAGGTGTTGAAATTAACCGACATTCTTTCTTTCCTTCCTTCCTTCTTTCTTTCTTTCTTTCTTTCTTTCTTTCTTTCTTTCTTTCTTTCTTTCTTTCTTTCTTTCTTTCTTCTTTCTTTTTTTTGTATCAGGGATTGAACCCAGGGGCACTTAACCACTGAGTCACATACCCAGCCTTTTTTTATATATATTTTATTTTGAGACAGGTTCTTGTTAAGTGGCTTAGGGTCTCACTAAATTGCTGAGGCTGGCTTTGAACTCACGATCCCCCTGCCTTAGCCTCCTGAGCACCTAGTATTACAGGTATGCACCACAGTACCTGGCAAAGACTTTTAAGTCACAATGATAATATATTAAAAAAGAAAAAAAGATTAATGAAGGCCGGGTGAACAGATGGTAAATTTAGCAGAAAAATGGAAACTAAAAAAACAGCCAAATAAAATTTCTAGAAATGAATCTACATATCCTAAATAAAGTATAACATATGGGCTTAACAACTATCTGAGTAAGATAGAAGAAATAATTAGTGAAGGACTAATTTCCTACAGCACTGTAGGAAATACCCTAACTGAAGTAAATTGGATGTTGCCCAAATCCCTTTGGGATAAGGTCCTACCTATCTCCATCCCCCAACCTTCCAGCCTCACCTTATGCCACAGGGCCCGTAGGCAATTTCTCCGCAGAGTTGTGTGCTGCCATGCCAGATACTCATCCACACGGGCGCGGGTCTGCAGGTCCTGAGGGTACCAGTGCTCGGGGACCTTGTACTTGTGTGTCAGATAGAGCAGGATCGCCACACTGTGGGTATAGGGGGTACATAAATGGGTGGGGGAAGTGCACTATGTTAGGGACTTAATACCCAGTACCTTCTTTGATCTTCCTGACAATCTATTAAGATATAAGCCTTATTTTCCAGAGAAGGAAAGCAGGCTTAGAAAGGTGAAGAGACTTGCCTCAGGGCATACAGCTCTTATTGGCAAAGCTGGGAGTCTTTCTGGGGCTAATACCCAACTTTTTCCTACCACCAGGGAAAATCTCACAACAGAGTATCCCATTAAGTGTTCAGAGACAGTTTCTGATCAGAGGATCAGAGAGAGTTTCCTAGAGGGGGTGGCATCTAAATGAGCCTTGAGGAAACTCAGTCCTTTCTGGTTTGTGTATACTCTCATTCTTTGTCATTCAGACCAGCCTCAGATTACCTGATTGTTCAAAAAGAACATCATCATCCCTCTATTCTCTATGTCATTCTTTCTGTTAAGAATCAGCTTCTATCTAAACCAACCACTATGGCTCAGCCCCTTAAAACCTTACTCAGGATGGGCATGAGTATGGACCTCTCCAGGATGAAAGAAGAGAAATGGAGAAGTTGCTCACTGCTCCTGGCTGGTACACAAGGGTGCTCAACCCTGAGCTGACACAAGGGCTCAGGACATTGGGGGCAGCAGAAAGGAAAGAATGGTGCTGGGAGAAAGCCAGAGGAATTCACTGGGGTGCATGCATCTCAAAATTTCAAAGATTCTGAAATCTCAAAATTCTAGGTTCTCCTTGCTTTGGAATAAGTGACTCATGTGACAAAACTGGGAAAAGGTTTGGCCTTTCCTAAAGAGGGAGATTTCAACTTCTTGGGATTTGCTGTGATATAAAACATCCACATGTATAGAGGGTCTCCCAGAAGGGAGCCCTATAGGGAAGCTACAGTGGCTCCAGAGATGGAGACACTGGGTAATCCAGATACCACCAGGCCATCCTGACCTAAGATTGCCAGAGGGCCGCCCCTATGTTGGGGGAAATGCCATCCACTCCTGCCCCAAATCTCTGTCCCAGGGATACTTGTGTCAACAAACAAGAGACAGGTACAGAGGTAAAGTAGGTACCTGCTTTTCCAACCATCCTGGTGAACTAGAAAAGATGACAGTTAGGGAGGGGTCTGGCTTCCAATCCCAACTCTCTGTGGGATATGGGGGTAGAGGAACACTTCATCTCTAAGGTCTTTAGTTTCCTTGTCTCTAACTATCTATGGGTTAGGACAGGATGTTCTGCTAAGGCCTGGCAGAAGCCCCAGGTTCCCAATTACCTCTCAGTCAAGATGAAGTCCCCATCCTTCAAGGTTGGTACCTTCTTCAGGGGGTTCACCTGGACAAAGGCATCACTGAGGTGCTGGCCTGTGGAGAGCCCATTATGACAGGGGTGGGAAGAGAAGGCTGAGCCTTCCATGTAGACTGGGCCCACTCCCTATGATGCTCAGGCCCAATTTCATGGTTCTTCTCCCCACTGGTCTGCTTTCCTGAATGGGACAAACTGGTGGAGGGCTTCAGTGGAAGGAGGGGGCGGTTGTTCTGGCAGCTGGTACAAAATATACCTTGACACCCTTTGACAAGTCCTCACGGGCACTACCTCTGTCCAACCCCTCTCCACCCCGACAACAGAGCTCAGTATGCAGGGAATGATGTTTAGGCCTCCTCTTTTCACCATTGCCAGCTTCATAAACGCATGCTTGGAGTGTCCCCAAGCTGCAAGGGCAGGTCACCTAAGTGGATCTCTAACTTCCAACAGCACCTGTACCCCATAGTCTGATGAAACACTTAAATAAATTGGCTTTTCTCTGCTATCTATTTACTTGTTATCAACCTTTATTGCCCATCTGTGTTCCCTTGCTCCCCTTGACCTAGGCTCTAGGACTACAGAGCTGGCCCTGCTTTCAGGTTCTGGTGAAGCTGGGACAATCTCATTTCCTGCCCTACTCACAACTCCTGCAAGGAATGACCCAGTGTCCCTTGAGAACCTGGTCTCTGTATTGAGCTTGTTTTAATGGTTTCTGCTCCTTCAGACACTCTCGAAAAGCTTCTAAGATCACTTAAGTCTATTGCTGCTCTGCCCCATGGCCCTCAGTGGTTCACCATTAACCCTGGATTCAAGTGGAATCTCCTCAAAGCTACATTGGATCACCTTTTCCCTCCACCCTTGAGGCTACCCTCTTTCCTTCAGACTGTTCCTCCACTAACGGCATCCTCCCCTCCTTTTCTGGTGGAAAAGGCACCTCTCCCTCTGCACCTCTATAATTGACAGCCAGCTTGACATCCCCTTGTCCACCATGCCCTTTCCTCTGCCCTATACTCTGTAAAAGCAGTCCCTGAATAAGGCAAGTGGGTAATCCCCAGAGGAGGTTGGGTGGAGGTGAAGTTTCAGGCTGTAAAAAGGCACAAAGGCCAAGAGTGGGGCACCTGGTATTGGGAGAACTCAGCCAGAAAGCTGAGCCAAATAGAGTCACCCTGCTTGATCACCCAACACCAYCTATATTCTGCTGCAGCCACCTCCTCTTAGCACCCCACCTCTGCCAGATTTGAGCCTGAGTCTGTCAGCTATCCTTGAGGATCCCTACAGGTCTGTAAGAGAAACAATCACTCCTGCTCAAATATGTAACAACAGGTTTCACCAAGGGGGAGGTCCTTCTCCCAGAACACCCCATGGGGGCAGTCTCCCTTGGCAGCAGGAAAGGAAGGCAGAGGACAAGATAAGTAAGGCAAAACAGGAGGAGCAGAAGAAGGAAGGGACAAAAGGGACCCCAATACACTGTAGGACAGTGTAAAGGACAGAGCTGGAAAGACAAGTTCCCAAAGCAATGCCTCCTCTTTGTGTTGTTGCAGTCTCAGGACTGGGGACCACAAGGGAGGGACCTAACTACATTCGGTTCCCTAACCCCTCTCCTCTCTCAACCATCTGTTTTCTGGAGGTCGTCTATCTTAAGGCCCAGGTCACACCTATTTCATGGGCACCAGGCCTTTCAACTCCTCACCCTATCATTTGGCTTCAGCGGAGCCCCTGTTGTCTATTCCATGGGACAGCAGAGTTTAGGGGAGTCCCAAATCTTGGATCTCCTTGCTGGTTCTCCTTTCTCACAAGATTTCCAAAGCCAGACCAGCGATGTCCCCAGGAAGTGGGTGGCACGGGAAGTGGCCCTAAGCTTTTGTGCCTCCCAGAGTGACCCTTCCCGATCTCTCAGTTCCCCAAACCCCAGACCCAGCCCACCCTTGAGCAGCTCCACGGTGCGCAGCTGGAAGGGGATGCCGTTCTTCTTCGCGAAGATGTACACAGCGCGGCAGGGCTGGGACAGCAGGTCCAGGTAGAGCTCCAGGCCCATGGCGGCGGCGGCGACTTGCAAGTCCCAGAACACAGCAAAAACGTTGACGATAGATATTTGACCTGTCCGTGTTGGGCGGCTCCAGCGCTGGGACACTTTGCCTTAGCAGCTGAGCCTGGCAGGGGTGAGTGGAGCGACAGGGTGTGGGCGTGGTTGAGGGGAGGTGTGTCCTAGAGGTTGGTGCTCCAGGAACTCAGACCAGATAGATGCGCTGGAGCAGGCGAGGGAGGCGCGAGGAGGTCCCAGTTTCAGTTCTTTTGTGACCGGTTTATTTGACTTAGCACAGTGTCTTCAAAGTGCATCCTGTTGTAGTGTGTTTCAGAATTCCCTATCATCCCCGTGTCCCAGATGGGAAAACCGAGGCATTGCGTGATGATAGATCCAGAAAGTCAGTCTCCAGACTCCATTCTCTTAGAACAACACTAGCAATCCTGGTGCCAGGAAGTGGCAAAGCTTCAGGTTTGTATTCAGCATTTTGTGGTCACTTGCCTCACTTGAATTGCACGTCTTGAAATTTGATAGTGTGCTCCTGTGCTAAAGCAGTTCCCTCAATCACGTTCCTGAGTGTCCTAGTCCCGTTTAAGCTGCTGATACCGCTGGTTGTCAGAGTTCTGTTTCTTCACATGTTGAAGCATAACACTAGAGAAGCACGAGGAGGCAAACATATAAAGCATGGTTTATTTAAAAATACACAGGGGCTGGGGTTATTGCTCAGCAGTAGAGCGCACGCCTAGCCCGTGCAAAGCCCTGGGTTCTATCCTCAGCATCAAATTAAATAAATAAATAAATAAATAAATAAATAAAATAAAGTTATTAAAAAAAAAAAAGGAGTAACACAGCTTCTCCCAAGAGTGGGAAGGAGGGCCATCGCTGGTATCCTGGTATCCTAAGAAGTGAGGGTGTTCTGCCTCTTTTATATATTGTTAGAACAAAGAGACTGGCCTGGATGCAATCGTCAAAGATCATTTCAGCCTTTATTCAGGAATGGGATTACACCTACAGGAATGGACCTACTTTCCTGGTGGAAAATGAGCCATTTGGACAAAGGAGGAACTGGGCTTTATAGGTTGTGGGTGATTTAGTGAGGGTGTCAGTCTGAGCATTCAGGAATTCAGTTCTTGGGCTGGAGGTCAGTGGCCAACACCCTGAGAGGAGTTATCTTGGAAGAGATTAATATTTCCTAGAGACTATCACTTCTAGGTTAAATGAGACACTTTCTCCCCACCTGTGGTTAGCATCTGGGAAGGAGTTATCTTGGGAGAGAAGAAAGCCATACTTTGATGGCTTTCTTTTCTAGTTCCTTCTTCCAGGCCTCCCTATCTTGTGATTTTTATTTTCATATTCAATATTATTCTAGACTTTCTTTGTTCTCCTGCCTTCCTCCTCCTTATCGCTCTCCTTCCTGCATACCTGACTAGGTCCAGGAGATGGCCCAGTGGGATGGCCAAAAAGTGAGAAGCAGATGAGCTAAAGGGGCCAAAGTGGAGTGATCAGGGCAGGAAAGGGGCCCAGGGTGCATTAATTAACTGCTCAGAATTTGCTTCATTAATAACTCTTGGGGAGGGGCAATACAGGCAAGGTGCTGAGGACATTAACATTTCAATCTCCCAGGGTGGTCCCCAACTTCCTGGACCCAAATTGGCCTTCATTCTCTCAATCTGACCCGAGATACCTACCTACACCAACTGCCTGTCTTTAATTCTGCCTTCACTGCCATAACAAAATACTCTAGACTGGGTAACTTGTAAATAATAGAAATTTGCTGCTCAAAGTTTTGAGCTCTAATAAGTCCAAAATCAAAGTTCCAGCAGATTCACTGTCTGATGAATGCTCGGATCTCTGCTTCAAAAATGGTACCTCATTTTTGTGTCCTCATATGGGGGGAGGAGCAAAGCAGCTCCCTTTAACCTCTTTTATAAAGGCACAAATTCCACTCATGAAAGGGGGGCCTTGACTTAATCACTTCCCAGAAGCCCCCCAATACCTTAGGTCTCCACATTAATTTGGAGGAGACAACAGTATTCAAACCATAACCCTGGATTTCTTTTTTCCCCTCTCCCAGCCTCAGCTTCTCCAACTGTAGAGTGATGGGGAGGCTAAAGCCCTCCAGTACCTTTGCAAGTTCAGGACACTGGACTTAATTGTCGAGTCCCAACCTCAGTCCTACCCATTGCCACCCAAGTACCCTTGGGGCCTGCTACCCAGGTAGCCAAATGACATCAGTGTTATAGATGTTATCTTCTTAAAAACGTCCAACTAAAAACACATCAGGAGGAGCATGACATTTTCTACATAGTTAGGAAGATTTCTATAAAGAAAATGAATGTTGGTAATAATGTGAGGGCGTGGTACTGGGGATTGAACCCAAAAGTACTCAACAACAGAGCTATATCCCCAGTGTTGTTTGTTTTGAGACAGGGTCTCCCTAAGTTGCTCAGGTGGACCTTCATCTTGTGATTCTTCTGGCCTTGATATCCTGAGAAGCTGGGATAAAAATGTGCACCATTGCACCCAGCAGTAATAACAATTTTTAAGTGAAAAAAAAAAGTTTAAAATGAGAAATTTTGTTTTCCATGTTAAGGTTTTTAAAAGAGCTAGATACTCAGAGAAAACAATATTTTCCTTATCTTCACCTCTCAGTGTCTCTAGTCAGTGCTCCAGGAAAGAGCTATTTGAATCCTTGTCTAGAGTAGAACCAGTCTTCCAGTCCAAAACCTAATTTAGTCCAACTTCCAGGATTGATCATGATCTTAGGACTAGACTGAAATCAACTCATAAGACACAGATTTACTAATTAATAGGGGGAAAAAGCCATTTAGACAGGATACTCTTAACAATTGCTCAGTATAACCCAAACTAAGTAGCACCCTCTCAGCAGTGCAGTCTCCTAGAAAACTGGAGGACTCGGGGTTGGTAGAATGAGAGTAAAGGCAATCAGATGACCCACAAACCACCTTTGGGACACTTAAAAAGACCTTCTGTAGTTCTTATCTATTGCAACATAAAAAATTATCACAAACTTAGTGGCTTAAGATACATACATTTAGCCAGGTGAAGTGGTGTATGCCTGGCTAATCCCAGCAGCTCAGGAGGCTGAGGTAGGAGGATCATAAGTTCAAAGTCAGCCTCAGCAACTTAGCAAGGCCTTAAGCATCTTGGGGATATTATGTTTCAAAATAAAAACTAAGAGCTGGGGAAGTCACTTAGTGGTTAAGTGCCCCTGGGTTCAATCCCTGGTACCATAACAACAACAACAACAACAACAACAACATACATTTATTATTTCACACTTTCTGTGGGTCAGAGTTCTGGGTACAATTTAACTGGTTCTTCTGCAAGGCTGCAATAAAGGGGCCAGATCCCCCAAATTCATGAGATTGAAAAGAGCTGCCTATCCCCTCGCACCATCCAAGGCTCAAYGGCAAAAAGATCCATCCCTAAACCCTCTCCGATCGTTGACATATTTTATTTCTTTGCAGTACTGAAGTTGCCTACTGTCTGTTGGCTGGAGGCTAGCCTTAGCAACTTGCCATATGGACTTCCTAACATGATCACGTCTTCAAAACCAGCAATGGAAACTCCAGAGCTAATAAACTAGGAAGATGGAGTCTAATACAACAGGGTAATCTCAATAATCTCAAATGAAAACAGACAAGGTTTTCATAGGCCTGTAGCTCAGAAAGCCCTACACTTGGGTGAATGCTGTTACCATCTTGAAATTCTTGATAATTTTTGGATAAGTAGCTCCATGTTTTCATTTGTATTCAGTCCTGGCCAAGGAGTTCAGAGAGCTCATGAGGGTGGACAAGCATGATTTGCTCTGGGTGGTGATGTGACAGGCTCCTGCCTCACCCTACCCAGTTACTGGTTTTAGCAAGAAATATGGGTGCCCCCAATTTCCTCAAAGGAGGGGGCATTTTTCCACCACTGAAAAAATAAGTGGCTTAGAACTTGCTACTCAGATTGGGGGTACTCTGAGAGCTGCAGCTGCCTTGCCAATGAGCTTATTAGAAATGAATCTGGGGGCTGAGGTTGTAGCTCAGTGATAGAGGCTTGCATAGCATGTGTGAGGCACTGGGTTTGATTCACAGCACCGCATCTAAGTAAATAAAACAAAGGTCCATTGGCAACTAAATATATATATATATATTCAAAAAATAAAGAAAGAAAGAAATTAATCTGAGGCCCTGAACTCCAGACCTGCTGAGCCTGCCAAGAATCATGCTAAGGTGATTCAAATACACCTGAGTTTAAGAACCTGAGGTCACAGACAGCCAACTCTTCCAGAGACTGTAAGGCATTTTTTTTCTTTGCTCTCTTCCCTTTTCCCTCAGGATTTCCTCTTCTCTGTGCTCTGGAGGTGCCTACAATATTTCAAGGGGGTTTCCGTTTCCAAATAGCTGATTCCCCTAGTATTTCTGAGTTAGAGTCTGAGAGAATCTGCACCATTCTCCATCTGAGCTGCTCCTGCATGACGATTCTGCTCTGGTGGAAAGAAGTCACATGATATAAAACATGGCAGCTACCTTAACTCTAGATTTGGGCTAAGCAGTTCCTAAGAAGGTGTTGGAAACAAGTAGATCATGTTCTGTTCCCTGGACCCATACTTGTCCTCCAGTCACCAAGATATGCTTTTATAGACCATATCATCTGTGACATAGAGAGTTTTTCTTCCTCCTCCCAATTATACTCACTCATAACTACCTAACAGTCTAGCACCACCTCATAGTCCCTAGATTTATCAGCTTTAGAGCAAAAAMTAGGCTCAGCACAGGGCACAAGGCTGTGTTAGGTCTTACCACAAAGACAGCCAAATGGAAAGACTTTTGTTTTTAATTTTATTCTTGAGAGAAGATGGTCAAATTCTACATTATAGAATAAAAAGAGCCATCATTCATGTTTTGCATTTTCAGAGGCTACTTCCATGTTCTTTTGGAATAAATATGTTCTTCATGGAATAAATATGAACAATGAAATCTTATTTTATTATTGTGATGTAATTCACATATCACAATACTCACCCTTTCAAAACACACAATTCAACATATTTTAGTATAGTCACAAAGTTATGTCACCAGCACAAT